TACTATACAATGCATTGAAGATGTATATTGCAAGCTTCAAATTTTATTTATCCATTACCACAGATTTCCATAAAGTAGGTTTTAAATTTTAAAATAGTTTATATTTGAACAATTTACATTATAGTAAAATATCGAATAAATTTTATATTTCTTGTAAATTTCTAACTTTCTCTTTTAAAATATACGGATTTTGTAAAATAATGATTGAAAAGTTTCATTTACTAAATAATAAGGTTCTTCGGGAAATCAAAAATATTGAGGAAAATTAAACTAACATTTAATTCTAGTTCTTTTTCGTTCATACTTTTTAAAAATATTATTTTATATTAAAATCACCTCATACTAAATTCTGAATATAAAAAAGTGTAAATTTACGTACGTTTATATAATAAAAAGAAAGCTGTACAGTAATAAAAAAATAATAAAAAAGTGAAGCCCTTTTAGTCACATTTTTTCTTTATTATTACATTGAAAGTTTCATCATTAAATGTCAGTTAAATGATATAAGTAGCTATAATTTTCATTTTTTTTTTTGGGCTCTTATTTATTAATATACTAAAAATTAAAAAAATAAGAATATTTTTATATTTCTCTATATACATGTAAAATAAATTATTTTACAATTTTTTCATAAAAAATTTAGTATATATGGTTTGATTACATAATGAAATATTTCTATTAATTAAAATTATTTTTAATGACAGATTTCATTATTAATATCATGATTTAATAAAAATGTAATTAAGTAAATTAGATTATAATTTGCGTATATTATGAAAAATTATAATTTTTAAATAATAATCAAAATGCTTTAATTAATTTAATAATATAATTAAATCAGTACTGAAATAAATGTTGTATACATTTATTTTTATATTCTTGGGTGTAAAAAATTCGTTTATTTTTTATTTTGTTTTTACTATATTACATCGAAAATGAAAAAAAAGTTTATATATTTTGTTCTATATAATCAAGTATAATTTAGTACAATTAATGTACTGTGAAAAAGTATAATTGGATTTTATAATAAATTTATAAAGTCTACAAATTACAACGTGTAGAACTATAATTTTAAATTTCTTAATTTCTTCATTAATAATAAATTTTTGCCTTCTTAATGCAACTCCTAGATTAAAAAGAAATGCATATGAGTGTTACAAGGTGTAAAATGGCATACGATTCAAAAAGATTAATTAATTTGTTTAATGTAAGGGTAAAATGAAAGCGAGGGAGAAAATGATACGAGTGAAAGTATCCGCTGATATATTCGATTAATTTTTACGAGCACTACTCGTTGTTAAAAATATAGGGAAAGCAAGTAAAAGCTCGAATAAAGAATTCTCGATTGCATTCTGAAATTTTTTTCTTTGACTCGCAAACCCAGATGTGTTCTAGTATTACCTCATGAAATCCTCACTACGTGCATCATAAAGTGTGCTTTTGGATAAGAAAACGTCAATCGGTGTACAACAAAGTATAAAACTAATGATATATAAGAATAGAGCTAGTTTGGATTGACAAATTTTATGTTTTGTTTTTATACTATTGGCTTATTAAAGTTAATAAAATTTTGGAGGTTTGTTAATTGAAATAAAATATTTCCTAAAAAATTTCATTCGTAAAATAAAAAAAGATGTTTGGAACAGATATTAAATATAATTTGTTTATTGTTTATTCTCCAATATATATCCTATATGTAAATATTTATCATAATTGATTGAAACAGTAGGACTAAGAACCGTTTCTTTCTGCGTATAAAATTATTTCAAAAAAAGTATTTAAAAAAAATTCGCCTAGAACATAGATATACAAATTCTTTTCGAAGTAAAAGTATTTACATTGCGTTATAGAGATGTGTGCGATATAAGGGTACTCGCCATTAAAACAAATTCTCTTACGGTCGATTCTTCATTGTGACTGGACGTCCTTTTTCCGGCTACCCGTTGAACAAAGCCTTAAACGAAAATGGTGCGACTTCGGAATATATATTCGCAGCACGGAATAGCCTTATACGTAGTCTGCATAATAGTAAATCCGACGAATAATTCTTTGGCACACAGTGCGATAATACCTAGGGGCGCGGATAGGTAGACCTTGTCCTTTCATAAAACGTGCCCATGCCCGATATTCCATGTGACTTCCTGGGACCTCGTAAAATTCTTTTCCCGTTCTTTGCTATCTGCGACTGCGACGAGACTGCTTGAATTTAATATTGCAAGTACGCGAAGTCCCGAAGGCGTAATTCCCCCTCAACCTACCACTGCTCCTGTATTATGTATTGCAAGGTAGATGTACGTTCGTATTTTTGCCAATGTGATTTCTATCTATACTATCTTGGCGATGCATCATTGAGGCTCCGCTGCGGCGAAGGGAGGTAGACGCAACGAGTGCAAAATATTCTGTCTGAATTCTTAGTTAGTTTGTCAAGAATACATGTCAACGTCAAGGATTCGGTTTACTTTTGCTTTCCTCATTTAACTAAAGAAATATTCGAGTTCGATTTACTAATGTTTACTAAGTGTTAAGGGTCCACTAATTGAGAATGTATTAAAAGAAGTTAAGATTGTAATTAAAGTTGTTCATTTAAAACGTTCCTTTTCCAAATTATGTTTTCTTTCAACATTTATTTAAATAATTTTATTAACTCTGATTTACGTTAACGTACTAGTTTTTTTATAAGCAATTATAAAGAAAGAAGTTTTTAGTTTAATGACTATTAAATGAAACTTTTGAAAAATATTATAATTTACATTATTGCATTATTGATTATTATTACTCATTAAGAGGCAAATATGCTTTTCCGTTTACAATACGATGCAGTTTTCTGGGACAAACAAGCGAGTGATAGAAAAACAAATATAAGAAATAGATAATATATATATATATATATATATATATATATAGAGAGAGAGAGAGAGAGAGAGAGAGAGAGAGAAATAGTACTCCCTGCTCATAACTCGTTTTCTGTTGTTCTTAAACGTGCTCTTATCTATATCAAGACACCAAGGCGAGAGAGCGGATTATGTTCTATTTTACTTTTTCATCCTTTTGTCTCTTTCTTTTTGTTTTCTTTTTTGTTTTTCTCTTTTTCTCTATTTATTTCTCTATATTTTCCACATGTACTTTAGATAAAGGCTTATTTTTTTTCGAATATTGTCGTTTTAAAGATATTAAATACATGTTTTTCCTTTCGTTTTTAATTTTTGTTTTATTTGATCATTTTTTGTTGTAAATTAAATATGTTTTTATTTTTATGTCATATATTTTTATATATTTTTGTTTATTTAATCTTTTTTTTTTAAGGCACTAAAACAGTTAATTTATATTATCAATATGATGTATAAAATTGAATATAAATTCTAATCGAAATGACTGAGACGCCTTATGAAACCATAATTAATTTTAAATATGAATATACGTGCATATCATTGTGAAGACGTATTATTCACTCGGTAATGTTTCGGCAATAATTTTTTATCTTAATATTATTAATAATAAGTTTTCTAGTTAAGTAGGGTAGTTTTATATCTCTCAGTTAATAAAAGATTGCATTATCAATATAAATATAATGAAACCTATCAGTAGAATAGAAATTTTAATTATTTTTCTTAAACTTTAGCTTATCAAAAATATAAATTGAAAAACAGCTGAAAAGCAGTTTCTTACCCATCAATTTAATGTATTTTAAACTTCAATAATTTAAACTTGAATAGTCAAATAATTACGTCTTTATACTAGAAATATAAATAGATATATTATAAGTATTTGAGAGAAATAGAGAGCGAGCAATACTTTGAATTTGATTAAAAAAACGATTAATTATTTGTATAGGGTACAGATAATATCATGATTCTAGTTATTTTAAATATTTAAATAACACAATATATTGTAATAATATCCTTCTCCCTGGTTGTAAATATGATTTTAATTCCTAAACTAATTTGAGACACAAAATGTTTGAGAATATCGAATGAAAAAGGAAACTTTCTGCAGCCACAAATTAGAGGACAAATTTATTTAATATGGCAGTTCACACCTCGGTGAGTTTTACTTCTCCCATCCACAAGAATATAATTCGCAGCGCTCTGTGTTCTAATTATTTACATCTTTCCGAATAAACCCGAGTGCAATTATTCGATGTTTTTACCAGCACTAGTGTGCATACACATATAATAATTAGAGATTTCAATCAATGAATAGTGATCGAGAATGTACGATGATACATAAGGAGTACGTTTATCGGCATCTGCATTTGCATCTTTAATCGGATTTATAAATATCGTGGAAGCAAGCTTCTTGATTTGGAATAATGGCAAATTACTATAATGGTTGAAAAATGATTGAATTACCGATGCGACTAAGCGTGAAACAGTTATTTCACTTGGAATGAAAGAGAATGTATTAAAATTAATACATTCTCAATCAAGACTTTTTTTCAGATATTTTAGATATTCCTATATTTTTTACTTTAAAAGATTGCAAGAAGTTTAAGTTTATAACGAGGAAAATATGGCTATGAATTCCTTGCCAACATTAATAACAATGATATATTATAACTATCGCATAAAATTATCCTGTTAGCTTTAATATTTTCATTTAATTCGTCTTACTACGATAATTTGAAGAACGAAGAAAATTGACATAAGAATAAGTGCATAATTAGCATTGTCGATGGTAGAATGTTAAATTTATTAATTTTAATGGTATATTAAAATCGAATAAAAATCGGACCTATCATAGAAAGCAAATAATATATTTTTTTATTTGATATAATTGAATTATGATGAAGATGTTTATAAAAATGTTTTTTATTGAATTATAACATTTTCTATTTTTATTTTAATATAAACATGAATTAATAAATAATTTCCAACGATAAATCGCATAACTATTATACGTAAATATGGCAATTGTATTCCTATTACATTGATTATGTTCGTAGACTGCATAATATACATAACTTTATAATATATTTAAAAAGATATTCGAAGAGTACTCACATAGAACAGTGAGCTTCGCATTAGTTCGAATTGGTTTGATTCGTCCATTCGGCCCGACTTGACATTGGTATTGCCCATCGTCGCTCAGCGATGCATTCCTAATATTCAGATTATATATGCCCATCGACTGCTCGCCCACGATTCGCCATCTTGGATGACCCACAATGTTTCCATCTGAAAGTAATGTACATTTGGAATTTATTATACTAAATACATATTACCATGTGGTTTTTTCTCTTTTTCTCTTGTGTCCGATCCACGCTGAGGACTCATTTACAAGAAAAATTCCGATCTCAATAAAATATATATACATACAGAATTTTATAATTGTTAAGCTTTTTAAATGTGCAAAATTAATTTAAAAAAAAAGAAAAAAATAGCTATTGACGTTCCTGCAGAATATAAAATAACTGTATATATTTTAAAAATTAATGAATGCTAACAAATGATGTAATAGTGCTGTAATACGAAAAAACATAATTTTACAATAATTTTACATTTACTTTAATTTTTAGACTATTTATTTTGAACTATAATAATTCAAGTTCATATTTAATACCAAAATGAATTATTAGGCATAATAAATTGAAATAATCTGAAGAACTGGAAATTCCATCCTCGCAGTGCAAATTATCATAAATAATATGCAATTATCTAAACACACGTGAAACTTATCATATAAAGTCATATTCCATTTAATATTAGTTAATAATCTACAAAAGAATACCTGTTAAATGGTACAATTTTATTAATCCAATTAAGCTTTCTAAAAATTAAAACTTAGTTTAAAAATATTTAATTGTACATATATATATATATAAATTGTTGAAATATTTCAAATGTGCATTGTAAAATTAAAAATTACAATAAATGAATAATATAAATATTGATGGAATAAAGTCTATTTAAAAAATTGTTCGATGTTCAAAATTACATTGCAAAAGCTACTAAATTCTTTCCAAACAATGTTCTTGGCACGATTAGTAAAAGGACGGACTGTGATAAATTAATGTGACGAGCGTCAGGAAAGAACTCACTTGGCTGCATAACATAAGCGAAGCCATCTTTGACCCATTGTACGATGCCAACTCTATGACTGACCTCGCATTGCAGAATGACCTCGGCTCCTTCAAGAACCGAGGTATTCGTCGGCCGAACTCGAAATGATTGCTGCACCCCACCTAAAACAAGAAGAAAAATACTTTATTATTTTAAAATATCAATTAATTTATATGTCGTACAATTAACTAACGTTTAATATTTATGATATAACAATTAAATCATAACTAGCATTCTGATACCAGTGAAAATGAATCGATTTTTTAATGACAACATAAAAGAATTAGACACGAATATTAATAGAAGGTAGGGTAAGTCTGCGTGAAAGTTAAGAAAAATAATGCTAATATATTAAAATCTCGCTACCCTGTTATGGTTTTGTGAAAAGAGTTCTAACATTTCCCTTTGTTCTCTTTTCTCCTGTTTTGATTCGTGTACCAAAATTGTACGGGAGGGGCGGAGGGGATTCTCTATCTATACTTTTGATCAGCAACTAGCCTAATCTACACTTGTAAGGTATATCGCTTCTATACAGATACTTAAATAAATTCTCGGGCATTTATTCAAGCCACGTGTAATGAGAAATAAAATGGATGTTAGGAAATGTTAAGGGAATTGAGACTCAAGAGGGGAGGATGATAAGTAGATGGAAAGCGGAGGGCGAATTGCAGTAAAGACCAACAATACAAGGAGCTTGATTTATCATTTATATTTCCCTTATCAAGCTCCACCATTTTAAAAGCTGAACGAGCATCATTACTTTTAAAGTATTCTAATAAACCCGATTTTTAATTATTCGACATATAATACTTTGCTTTTCATGATTTTGCATTATTAATCTTTGGTAAATATGATACTGCAGTTTTCTATTTATTGTTAAAAATTTTATGTGACTTTCACTGAGAATTATTGCCAATTAATATTATTAAAATTCTCAATTTCACAGAAATAAGTAATATTCTAACATCAATATTAAAATTTTTAATATCAAATATCATTAGATTTAATGTATTTATCGATAATTTAATCATTTTAATTGTATATTTATGTATCAATAAAAATATATTAAGTAAAACAATGGAAATTTTAATAAAAAAAAGTTTATTTAACGACACATTATTTGCTGCAGAAAATATTTGTCATTTAAAGAATTTATGCAATTTATTCTTGTGATCATTTAATATTTAGTTTTGAATATATAAATTTTATAATTATACAATTAATAACAAAAATCACATTATTACATGATTATATTACACATTATTATGTGATATTATAAGTTTCGATTCGTTCAAGCTGTTGATTAACTATAAAACCAATAAAACAAATTTTTATCAATCCCATAGCTATAATTCAAACGCAATATAATGGATTTATCGATCATTCAAAGCGAATGATAAAACAAGAGTTTTGCCAAAAAATTACTTAAAAATGTACACCTTATATATCGTTCAAAAGTATAATATCGATTGAGTTTCGGTCGCTATTATTATTATTTATTACGGTAAAATTTATTCATGAGAAAAGTCCACGATTTTTTGCTTGTAGTTGTCGTAAATTAAAGTCTTGAGGATTTGTTACAGTTCTTATAAACTCGCACAGCAATAAAGACACCAAGCGTTGATACAAACATGCATCTTCATCGCACAGTTCAAATCGGCTTTTTGACATTCACGGGTACACGCTATTCTATAAATGAAGAATCTTTTACAACAAGCAAGAAAAATTGAACAGATCAAAATATTGATGAAGTTTACGGCTTTTTTACTGACTCGAAGAAATACAATAATACGGATTGCCTTGCAATTTCTAAGTCCTATATATACGAGACAATCCGAAGGGATTGATGGATGTATCGGTTTATTTTGAAGAGTTTATTAAAAACAGCTTAGAAGTATATATAATTCCTTTTGATGTTGTTCATATACTCATGAAATGTAAATATATATAAGGCTAATATGTTAAAAATTATTAGAAAACAATAGTACATATTAACACTTTGAAAAGAAAAATCAAATTAGATATAACAGGCTTAAACGTTATACTTAATTCCATAATTATAAGTGTTTTTGTCAAAGACTGTGACCGTTTGATAAAACTGTGTTCTTGTCAAATTTTATATTATTTATAAAATTAATTTTCGTTAATTCATTTTAAAAATGAGAAAAAAATCATTAAAAAGTGGAAACAACTTAAACGAAAATTGTATTTTTATCAATTGATCGGATATTTTGTGTATTAAAGTAATTTAAACATTTCTCAAAGGAAATATACTTTTATAGTATTAAATATGCTTAGATCTTGAAGTATTATTTGCATAATCAATATTATACAATTGCAAATGCATTGAAAATTGAATGAACTTTGTTTATTACAGAAATATTATGCCAGAAGTTAAATTAATTAAAAAAATAATCAACATTACGATCTGTCAATCTTTAAAAAATCCTTTGCAAAGAAATTCTTGAAATTATTGAAATGATTTCATTCATCAAATCAACACAAAACATTTCTAATTTTTAAATACAATTATATTTAGGTTGAAAGCAAAATATTGTATTTGATTATATTCCATAATTTTTTGCTTTCAAGTTTCCAAATATACTCCTTCGTAGCCATTTCAAATAGCTTAACTAACGTAACTCTAAATTAAATAATATAACTCTAAAAATCTTAATTATGACTAATATAAGATATGCATTCTCTATTTTGGATTTAAAATATTCAATTTTTTACAAACGAATCCATTAATGAAAGTGAAACATAAACTATTCAAGGCTAAAGTCACTATATTTATAAGATTAATGGTATTTTATACTTTTACATCAAGGATTGTATGCAAGTAATTTCTAATTTTTACTAATTTTTAATAAAAATTTATTGATAACACGCAAGCAAAAAAAGTAAATTCAAATACACATCTAAGCTCGAAGGAATCGCGATACTTGTAAAAAAGTTTCCATACGCGCACCCGTCATCGTGGGAGAACGATAAATTTTGTTCCTTGATCAAAGTGTGGGTAGTTGGCAAAACTTTTCGTTACCTTTCAACCCACATACACTTATGTGTACGAATGTGCAATGTAAATCACGTAAAAATAGCTGTAAATTCAAATGCGCAAAAGTTTGTTTTACGGAGCCGATGTGGGTGGGAGGAGGTGTCGAGAAAGAAAAAGTGGCTAATTCAGCGAGGAAAGTGAGAGCCTTGGCGTACACAAGATAAATCTACCAAGGTGGCGAAAATAAAAAACGATGCACACGTACGTGATAAAATAGAAGTCGGGTGGATGCGTGTTGAGACTTCACGAGGAGAGGAAAAAAAGAGGCGGATGATAGGAGTCAACGGGCGCGAAAATAACTACGAGAGTGTAAGTACGAGATGCGATTTGAAGATAAATAACGCCATAACAGCTCTGTCGATTTATAATTTTCGGCGTGAGGTAAGTCAGGTAAGCATATGAGCTCATTATCAGAATACAATGTAGCAGCGTAAATTTATTTTCAAGAATTGTATAACATTGAAATATTATTTTAATAAATCACTGTTATAAAAAAAAAATCAATGATTCCTATCACAAAAAAACATCATTAAATTGTATTACGCTATAAGACCATTATTTTAAATATCACGAAATATCTTCTTTGTTTATTTTTAATAATCATTAAAAAAAATTATAAATTAAAGTCTGCACACAAAAGTTATAATAAGGTTTGTAAAAGAAAAGTGAAAGAGGGCAAAGTCTGCTGAATTGGGTATAAATTTAGCGAAGAAAGTTTTTCGAAGGATACGTTTTCTTTTTTAACCTTCTCAAACCTTTACAGCAAAATACTATAAATTTAAGTCTATTGAGTTTTTTTTTAGTATACATCGTAAAAGTATAGAATCAAAATAGAAAGATATAAACAAAATCCGAAGAAAGTCAGAAACAAATAAAAATAAACATTTACTATGCGTGAGAGTGATAAAAATGCAAAGTAATAAAGAATATGTTGAATACAATTTATGATTATAGTAGTATTATGCGAGTGCATTAACTATTTCACAAAATGCAGGTTTAAACTTTGTATAATACATATTTGAAAAATAAAAATTCATATTAGCAAAGCAAAGATTATTTGTAAATATAGAACAAATATTGTATGTTAATATAAAGTCACTTTCATTTTAAAGTATAGTTCAGTATTTAACCTATAATATTTTATTTTACACTCAATATAAATTATAAAATATAATGATTTTTATATCTAGTCAATACACACAATAATAAAAGTATATAATTGAAATTTATTATCGGCTTACGGTTGTATGGAGACGTATCGGGTATATATATATATATATATATATATATATATATATATATATATATATATATATATATATATTATATACATAATATATACATATAATATATACATAACAATTATATTATTATGGACAAATCAATTTTATGGAAGAAAATCTTTTCAATGTTTCGTACATTATAATTTCATTAATCGAGACTTTTTAAGAAATCACAAGTATGCGAATCCGCGGTGATCGAAAAACTTAAAATTTAGTATGAAACGGGACTTTTTGGACAGTTGACCTTCTAAATCACTCAACAATATTTTAGAGTAACCAAGTGACTTAATTTAATGTCATCATCATTACATGCACGAAATTTTACCTAAAGGTCATTTTATCAGTCCATACATAAGAGTTTCATGTAAATGATAGAATGTGTGCTTCTCACATTAGGTTACCCTATTCAATAAAAATTTGTTAAACACTTTCATTTATTAATATTAGATCAGAAGAGTTCTATTTAATAAACAAACAATTATGTAATTTCCATTGAGAATCACTGTAAAAGTCAATACTTTTATAACGAGTAGATTGGAGCTGTAGCTTTGAAAGAATTCATTTTCTTATTTCACAACATAGAAACATCATACTGGATCAATGATGTTGAAGTGATAACAGAACATAAATGTAAAATATAATGTTATAACATGATATTCAAGATTTCATTCGTCTTTATAAATTTCTAAAATTAGATAAATTACCGACATAAAA